AGACCTCACAGTCCAAGAAAGCCAACCTGCCATTTTTTACATCTTCTCGTGTGAACTTGATGTATTTATCCACAGAGTTGATGTGGTCAGTAAAATGTTGGACTTCCTGAGATTTGATTTTAACCCAGGTGTCGTCAACATACCTGAACCAATGACTTGGTGGTGTCCCTGAAAAGGACATCAAGGCTCTCTTTTCTACCTCCTCCATGTACAGGTTGGCAACAATAGGAGGAACTGGAGACCCCATAGCACACCCATGTTTCTGCCTATAATATTGCTCCCCATATGTGAAGTAGGTTGACTGCAGGCACAGTTTCAAGAGTTGACACAGTTGTTCTGTGGAAAGCGTGGTCCTGCTGCTCAGAGTGGTGTCTGATTTTAATTTTAAACTGACCACCTCTACTGCATCATCAACAGGAACGCACGTAAAGAGTGATGTGACATCAAAAGAGACCATTGTTTCACCAGTCTCCATGATGACATCCCTCACCTTATCCACAAAGTTCATGGTGTTCTGTATGTGGTGTTCTTGAATGTCAACAACAAACTTGTTGATCCACTATGAGAAGGTGTTATTTATAAGACTGAGCTCAACACAGCTCTTCAGACTGAACAAGTGTTTCGGATGAAAGACGAAACGTTTCTACAATTTTTTGATTTTTGAACCCGTCCAGAGAACCAGACTTAACTTTTTTGGATTAGCTCTCTACTTTAGTTTTTTGTGGCGGGCAGTAATAACGTTTTCAGGCTACGTTGCAAAGAAAATACATTGATTGGAGTCTGCTGTGTTTACTTAGGTCACACAGTAGCACAAAGCCAGTTTCGTAAAAAAAAAAAAAAAAAAACCAGTGGTGCTTTGCCAACAACAATCAGCAGCCCAGTCACATGAAAGGATTCCACAAGACGTGGTTTGTTAAAAGAAGCTTTGAGAACTGGAGGGTCTGTGCTCACAGCTTCACTGCAGTCATATGACCTCTGAGGGATCAGAAAACCAGCAGGGTTTGAAAAACTGTTTCTGTTTATTTCTGTCAGTACAGTAGTCCTCCCCACCTTGACAACATTGACGATACTAGATTAAAAAAGAAAACAAGAAGACCATAATTGGTAATATAGTTTATTCATAGGACTTTAGCTTGACATTTGTTTAATTAAGTAGATTCCAATCACTAAATACTGCTGCTAAGTGTGACATTAAAGGAATATTTGCTCCATTCGGGTTCCATTTTATTGTCACTTAAAGTTAATACAACAAAATCTCCCTCAAAGGAAAGGCTTGTATCACCATTAAAATGTGATCTTAAATAACAGGGCTGTGGTAGCTCGGTGCGCTGTGGTTGTGACAGGAAGGACATTCGACGTAAAAACCAAAGCCAAGTCTTCAGGCAGTTGTTGCGTGGTCTCCGGGCGAAAAGCGCGGAGCAGGTAAACGGGTGCATCAGCCAGCAGAGGGGGAGGTCCAGAGTTCTGCTCATCGCAGTTGAAGATCTAAAAGTTGTTGACGTTCATCAACCAGTAAAGACTTGTATGTTGCAAGTAGAAATAGCACGATCACAGCCAACAGAGGTAGACGGCAAGCCATGTGCGCCGGCACCCTCTTCCCAGAAGTCACAAGACAGGACTGATGCGACCAAGACCAAAGTGAATAGGTGCCACTTTGAAACCGCTCTAATCTCCTAGACGTCATTGTGGTCCGTGTGAATGTTTTCATTTAAACCTTCACACCATCAGTTTAGCATTACGTTGACATTTTAGCAAAAATAAGAACTTCCTGCCAACCCCCCGAGCCCTTGAGTTCACTGCCGTTGGTCCTAAATGTGTTTGCAAATAAGCAAAGAACTCTGTGTGAATAACCATGCAGTGCAGGCCAGTTTTATTAGTGGTAGTAACTCCGATACATATCCACTGTTTTAGTGTGGTCTGTGTCTGTCACATTTCATCTCACTTAAGTCACTGAGGCAGGGGAAAGCAGATCGATCAAGTATTGATCATATTCATGCCAACCTTGTGCAGTTTAAAGCTTGGAACTCTGCATGTGTTCAGCTACAGAACACAAGTCCAGCTGCTTAGGTTTTTCTTTTCTTTAATTTGCCATGTCCTGGATGACTGAGGGTGTACAGCAACACGTTACTGGAGTTGTTGTTGGACTGTATCAATACGCCATGAAGGGATTGATACATACGTTTATTTCTGTCTTCAGTTTGTCGCCATCGTTCCAGAAGAACTGGTTTGAAGAGCGTGAGCTTCAGACAGCCTCGTTCGAGGATAAGCAGGTTATTTAATCTGTTTTCTGCTGTCTGTTTCAGGTGGAAGTCCAGCTGTAGAGCCACTACGAAAAGGCCTGAATGATCTTCATGATGTTTGCCAACATGTTCTCAACACCTTCCAGGTACAGATGTGCATCAGTTTTTACATTTGCTGCCTGCATGTTGCAGGGAGACCAGGGGTTAGCCGTAGGTCTAAATTCAACTCTGACTAAGACGTCCCAAGCCCATCACAGGACCACACAGAGACCAACAACCATTCAGTTCAATTCAGTTTATTTACATAGCACAAAGGCACAACAGAAGTTGTCTCAGGGCACTGTACAAATCATTCATATACATAAAAAAGCCAATTAGTAAAAGCTCTCTATCTAAGGAAGCAGCAGATTGTGTTGAATCTTCACTTCGTCACTTTCTCTCATTCTGAGCAAGCACGAAGGAAACAGTGGAAAGGAAAAACTCCCTTTAACAGGAAGAAACCTCCAGCAGAACCAGGCTCAGGACAAGCGGCCATCTGCTTCAGCCAGCTGGGGTTTTAGAGAACAGGAAGGGAAAATAGTCGATCACAGAATGGCAGGTCCAGGTGAACTTTCTATAGGAGGAAAGACAAAAAAACACATGTTAAGATAAAAATACTTACAAATACAAACAGGTAGAGTAGAGTAAGTAAAGAGAGCAGCAGAGTGAGAAAATGTGGTCAGTTTGTGCTCCAGCGATCTAATCCTATATCAGCATAACTAAGCGACAGCTCAGGAAACCCAAGCTAACCCTAACTATAGGATTTATTAAAAAGGAAATAAAAAAAACTAATCTTAAAAGGAGACAATGTGTCAGCCTCACAGACAGAAACTGGAAGTTGGTTCCACAAGAGAGGAGCCTGATAACTGAAAGCTCTGCCTCCCATTCTACTTTTGGAAACTCTAGGAGCCACAAGTAAACCTGTAGTTTGAGAACGAAGTGCTCTGTTAGGGAAATATGAAACAATAGGATCTGTAATATAAGATGGAGCTAGGTTGTTGAGAGCTTTGTAGGTTAGAAGTAGGATTTTGATTTAATTTTTTTTTTTTTAAAGTAGGATTTTGAATTATATTCTGGATTTGACAGGGAACCACTGGAGAGAAGCTAAAACTGGAGAGATATGATCTCTCCTACTAACTCCAGTTAAAACTCTGACAGCAGCATTTTGGATCAACTGAAGACGTTTTAAAGTTTTTGGACACTCGGATAATAAACAAGTGCAATAGTCCAGCCTAGATGGGAGACTGCAACGAAGCCAAGATTCAACTTGTCTGCTGGATTCCTTAGATAGAGAACTTTACTAATTGGCTTCTCTATGTATGTGAATGTTTCTGTAAAGTGCCCTGAGACAACTTTGTTGTGATTTGGCGCTATATAAATAAACTGAATTGAATAGATGTTATAAATGCATCGACCAGTTTTTCTGCACCCCGTACTGAATTCCAACCCCCCCCCCCATCATCGTCAACAACTGTCTATTGATGTAGCACGGGGCGGGACAAATACATATTTATCGAACCTTTTAAAGCCTCTTTGTCCCATCAGGACTTTGAGATCTTCAAATCAAATGTTGCTGATTGTACCAAGAATTTACTTTAAACCACGTGGAGACAGAGCGTTCCAAGTGGTGGCCCCGAGGCTTTGGAACGCTCTCCCTCTGTCACTGCGATGCTCAGATTCCACTGACTCTTTTAAAAAGATCTTAAGACTCATTTATTCAGACTGGCTTTTAGTTAGTTTGTTTACTTTTTCTTTTTCTTTTTGCTTGTGAAGCACTTTGTGATGTTATTGTCTGTGAAAGGTGCTATATAAATGATTACTTACTTACTTACTTACTTAGTTACTCCACCCATTGACAATTACCGGCAGCAATGTAGCGCTAAACAGACGTGACACCCCCACCCAATATTCTGTCAGAGATGTCTTTTTATCTCCTTCACTGTTTTTCCACAAGCAAGATAATTCATTTTTTCTTTGATTTGAAGCACTTTTTTTGTCCACCTATGTTCACATGTCATTTATAACAGCTGGTGTCTGAGCCAGCCTGTACACTTAATGTCCTGTCCTTCCCATCCTTGTCTCATCTCTCTGGGTCGTGTTGGAGGAGTACCTGTGAGTTTTACAACGATGTGGATCTTTAACATAACGGTACCCGCTGTTCATTTGAAAACTATGAGACAGATTCAACGACAGATGATCCACCTCATTCACTTGAGAGTTTAGGGTCGCTGCGTTTGACCCTTAGTTGTTGATGCTGGCAGCGGGAGTGACCTGGAATTACACAGTAATATTTACACAGAAAAATTATGGAAGTGAGTAACACTGTCACCACACCCCATATTATTGTAATCCTCAAGGGGTTCTGGAACAGACCCATGGTGTAACACTTCAAAACCTGTAAAAAATACCAAATGAGTAAACCATCCATCCATCCATTTTCTTTACCCGCTTATTCCATTTTGGGTCACGGGGGTCGCTGGTGCCCATGTCCAGCAATCACTGTGCGAGGGGCAGGGTACACCCTGGATGGGTCGCAAGTCCATCACAGGGCCACATAGAGACAAACGAGACAAACAACCATTCACTCTCTCACTCACACCTAGGGACAATTTAGAGTTACCAATCAGCCTAACATGCATGTTTTTGGTCTGTGGGAGGAAACCGGAGTACCCGGAGAAAACCCACGCATGCACGGAGAGAACATGCAAACTCCACCCAGAAAGGCCCCTGGACCGGGGTTTGAATCAAGGACCTGCTCGCTGAGAGGCTGCAGCTCTACCAGTTGCACCACCGTGCTGCCCAAATGAGTAAACCTTAGAAGTTAATTAAAATACTACCAAACTCCTGGAAGATTAAATTTGAAATGAGTAAACGATTAAACCACTAGTTCTAACTAATAAAACACTCAAAAATAGCCAAAATTGACCCCTGAAAATTGAGTAATACCAAAAGATTGACCTCTTTAAAATACCTCAAAGAATTTTAGAATGATTATGATGTTCAATTGAATGGAGTAAAATTTTGAATATTTAGAGTTCTCAATTGAATCCACCGACCCTTTTTAAAAGCTCTGGTTGTTTCCTCAGAATGACTGAAAGAAAAGATAAACACTCATATTAAACACTCCTAGCTAACATGTCTTCTGTGCTTGAGCTTGCCGTGGGAGACCTTGTTCGTCCACAAGGGTCCTTTTGGTGCTCAGCGGGATTCGGCCCACGGAGATGTCTTCATGTAAAGTCCTCAGAAACTTTATCAGTCTGAGCAGACGTTTTAAATGATGTGTGTGCAGTGAGTCAACTATATCAGTGTGTCGCGTCTTCGTTTCTTCACGGTCAGGGCTGGGAATCTTCTTTCCTTCCCCGTTCCACCTGACTGACCGACTTAGGCAGAGCGGAGACTTCTTCTCCAAATTTTGCTACTGCCTTTTTCAACAAGGGGCAAAGAATGAACTCCCACAAAGTTCAGATCACCTCCTCCAGATGGAGGAGTGGCTTTTAAACCCCAAAATACATTACGGCAAAGACTGGTTCATCCCAAAGATCCAGTCCCCCGGCACAAACAGAGTAATGTTGTGTATGCTGTTCAGTGTCAGGAGGGCTGTGATCAGTCTTACATCGGGGAAACAAAACAGCCACTGGCCAAAAGGATGGCCCAGCACAGAAGATCAACATCATCAGGCCAGGACTTTGCGGTCTACACTCATCTCCAGGCCAGCAGTCACTCTTTCAGGGATGAAGATGTTCACATCCTGGACAGAGAGGAACGATGGCTTGAGAGAAGAGTAAAGGAGGCCATCTTTGTGAAAAGAAACCGTCCATCATTAAACAGGGGTGGAGGCCTCCGGGTTCAACTGTCCCCCTCTTACAATGCTGTGATTGCTAGTATCACTCAGCCCTCTGTGAATAGTAAACAGCCATCAGTGTGCTAATGATCCATTGTTAGGCTGATGGTCCTTCTTGAGCATGTGATCAGCTGGTTTTGGTTGTCAGCAGCAAACTGGTTGATCCACTCTGAGAAGGTGCTATTTAAGAGACTGAGCTGAAAACAGCACCTCAGACTGAGGAAGTCTCTCGGATGAGAGACGAAACGTTTCTACATTTTTTTGTTGTTTTGCTTTGTTTTTTTGAATGTCCAGAGGACCAGATTTAACTTTTTTAGATTTTTCTACCTGGATTATTGAGCATGCATCAGGATAACCTGTCCACTTATCTGTGTCTAAAGTTCAGTTTGTCCCACCACACTCTGGACTAACTGGTTCACTTCCATACGGACAGTGGTTTGCCATCCATTAATGGAAAGTTGTCAAAGATCTTCATGTGTGCGGATCCAGTGACTCGTCTCAGTTCCTTGGATTATCATCAGAAATTTTCAGCATCCGCATAAAAAAACCTGACCTAAGAATAAGATCAAAATAAAGTCACACTTATTGATTTGAATATAACCATAACCATTACTCATTATGGGATAAAGTTTAAGTGTAGCTAGTCTCATAGTTCACTTCTAATTATGTTGTACAACATTTTAAATTCACTCTCAAAATTCAGTTTTAGCAGGATTAATCATGAAAACAATTAACAAAGTCCATGCTCAATAATCCAGGTATACAATCCAACATTTTTCAGTCAGGTCATCCGGACAGTTTCTTCTTTTGTGTGTGTGTGTGCTGAAATGTTAGCACCACCATAACTGGTTTGTTCCACTTTGGAGTAAGCTGTTTGGGGGAAGAATCAGTTTTGTGTTGTTTCCTTGACTGATGAAGCCTTCTGGATCGAAGGTGAAACGTTTCAGCACAAACAAAAAAGAAGGAAACTGTCCAGATGTCTTGACTGAAAATTGTTGGCATTAAAACAATTATTTTTGGATTTTTCCACTTCATATATAAACATTAAACATTTAAGTCAATAGAAATATAACACAAAGTTTAACACATTAAACACAGCAAATTTTTAGAACCTCAAAGAGTAACTCGGTGCCAAAATTGTTTGTCCAATCATATCGGTTTTAACAGGAATACATTGAGTTTAACTCTTTGACGGTTCTTATAATCAACAGACATGCTACAGTTAGCACAAGTAATCTTTATTAGCATTGTTAGCATCGCAGCTAACAGACCTGCAAGTTCAAACTCACCAGTGCACTACTCAGCATGGGCACAGGAAGTGCATCAGCCGTCTCTCCTTCAGGCTGTTATTAATGTCCAGCCATGCTTTTTCACTTTAATTTAACACAAAATATCAACTTACAACATGACAAAAATATAAATGGAGCATGTAGCTGAACAGACTCAGAAGTTTACCACCAGGTAAACCTCTCTCTCTCTCGCACAAGATGGCAGCTGCTGCGTGCCTTCAGTGTAATAATCAAAGCAGTAAGGAAGGGCGAGACAAGTGATACAGCTGGCCAGAGTGATACTATACCACTTTAATTATTGGCTGATAAAGTGTCTTGTAAATACACTGTTAGCTCGTAGCTTAGCTGCTCAGTTTAGCTGTCTTTAACGATCCAAAACACGATTTTGGGCTGTTAAAACAGATTTTAAAGAGAAAAGAGAAAGGGAGAGGCCAGTGAAGAGCACCGGAGTTGAGCAGTGTCTTCGGTAGAAAGAGAGAGACACAAAGAAACGATAAAGCCGATAAATGAAAATGAGGTTGATAATTTTCATTCATCATGCGATTAATTGATTTATTGTTTATTGCGTCAGGCCTACCATTTCCTGCGTGCTGTCTTTTCATTGGTTGTTAAACATCTACATTTACCTACACCCCCAGGCTCCTCCTTAGGCTGTTCATGGAGGCTGGTTGTGGGCTCCTGCCTGGGTACGACAGCCTGGTTAGCTCAGCTCTTACCCACACCACTTGCACCTGCTCCAGTACTGTCTCCATTGCCACTGCCTTCATGTTCTTCAATTCTCAGTTGTTTAGTTGTACAATGAGAAGACTTTTTTTTAATGAAAGTAAAATGGACTGTCTTTACAACCTTTTGATCGCTGTTATTACAAATTGACACCGTTGTTTCGATACCTGACATACATCATGTGATTACCCAACATTTCTCTCGTGTTTTTAATAAATAATCCAAATTTTATTAATGACCCACTTAAACTGTAAAACTGATTTGCAATTTAGTTGTGCTCATTAATTATATTTTTGTGTTTTTAATTAAATTGCCCATGACTGAACTTTTAGGGGTGGAGATTTTTTTTTAAGGGTAGAAGCAGAAATGCTTACATGAAGGAGCAGCTTTGATGTGATATTAAGAAGCTCATAAGTGGCTGTTATGTTTAAAATTAGTGTTTATGTAATTCAGTTTGCATATCCAATATAGGTTTTATTCATTCAAGGCAGTTAAATTTGTTCATAACGTTATTATTATTAAGCCTGAGAGTTACCAGATCCAAGCAAACGGTTACCGGAACGCACCCTCTCAAAATAAGGGAGTTCCCAGATAATGTTCCGGTAGAATCCAGCTCAAATTAAGCCCCGTAATCGGGTCTAATTGAATGTATGTTCCAGTGTTTTTGTTATATCTGAGGCCTCGCTATCCCACTGCTGACATGACACTCAGAGGCTCAGCTGTCCTCACCACAGGGTTCTGTTTTTTTTCTGAGGAACACAAACGACACATGAAGCTTTATTTCCTCCTAGGGTTTTCTGTTGTTCACTGAGTGTGCCGTGACTACACACACACACACACACACACACACAGACATGCATTATTCTCTAGTCTCCAACAATTTTCAGTCAGGTCATCTGGACAGTTTCTTTTTTTGCTGAAACGTTTCACCTTCCATCTGGAAGACTTCATCAGTCAAGGAAACACGCAACACAAAACTGATTCTTCCCCCAACAACTTACTCCAAAGTGGAACAAACCAGTTATGTTGGTGCTAAGATGGTGTCTTTGGCACGCCCCCTCCTCTGAAGCCGGCCCACTTCCTTGTCGACAGTCATGTCAAACTGGTTCAAAACCAAAAAAGTCCATGCTCAATAATCCAGATATACCTGTACAATCCAACAATTTTCTATCAGGTCATCTCAGTCAGGTGAAACGTTTCAGGAAGGTGAAACGTTTCAGGAAGATGAAACGCGAAACGTTTCAGAAAAAAAAAGAAACTGTCCAGACTTGAAAACTGTTGGATTGTATACCTGGATTATTGAGCATGGACTTTGTTGGTATTCTCTAGACTGTTCGGATAGTTTGTGTGGATTCTGTCATCCAGGAGATGCTAAATGAAGGTGAATGGACTTGTTTTTGTCATGTTCAAAAATTTGTGTCCCATCCGAGGAGCTTCATCCATCCATCCATCCATCCATTATCTTTACCCATTTGTTCCATTTTGGGTCACGGGGGTCGCTGGTGCCCATGTCCAGCAATCACTGTGCGAGGGGCGGGGTACACCCTGGACGGGTCGCAAGTCCATCACAGGGCCACATAGACACAAACGAGACAAACAACCATTCACTCTCTCACTCACACCTAGGGACAATTTAGAGTTACCAATCAGCCTAACATGCATGTTTTTGGTCTGTGGGAGGAAACCGGAGTACCCGGAGAAAACCCACGCATGCACGGAGAGAACATGCAAACTCCACCCAGAAAGGCCCTTGGACCGGGGTTTGAACCAAGGACCTGCTCGCTGAGAGGCAGCAGCTCTACCAGTTGTGCCACCGTGCTGCCCTCCGAGGAGCTTATTTCAAGGTTTTAAACCGGAGTAAATCGCTCGGTTTCCTCCTTCGTGAAGGGCCCCTGTGGCCCTCAGGAGAGAATGAAAAGTGTCATCCTGCTCCATCATATCTGAATCTAATAAATAAATGAGCTCATCCAGCCTGTTCTGCAGGAACCTGTTGGTTACTATGTAATTAAAGCCAGTTGTGTTGAAACACATCGAACAAACAATTATTTTTAGTTCAAGACAGTTTTTTCATCTTCAGTTATACCCACAGATTGTTTCCATTTTCTTTCAGGCTAGAGTTACGGAGTTCAAAGAGAGACAGGATCAGCCCATGGACTGACCTCGGTCACCTGTGAAAAATAAATCTGTTTTTCTTCACAAAAACCCTTTTCTGTGCTTCAAGTGACACAAACTCTGTATTAACAAAAACCTGAACAATGCTACATTCAACCAATTGTACAGTTTTTTAAATAAATAAATAAATTGAATGTAATGTTTGTTTTCTTTTGTACAGCACTTTGGTTGGCCTTGTTGCTGTTTTAAGTGCTATATAAATAAATTGGTATGGTATGGTATGGTAATGTATAATAAATGTCTGTGTAGCTGGATGAATAAAACAAAATAAAACTTTCCTCCCATGACTTCTCTTTTCATCTTCTGCTCAGCACTTTGCCTCGTTCTGTGACTTGTATAATGCTGTTTTTGAAGGCCGTCCAAACGCTACATGATCCGTCTGTCGAGCAGCGTACGTCCTTCATCTCTTGTATTTTGAAGCTGTTTGAGGAGTGAGGAAGATCTGGGAACTGAGTCTCTTCTTAGCAGAGGAATGTGGTGCGGGCGACTTCACACAAAGCCAGAGGGACCGAGGGGAACTACGAGGAGAAAGGTGCGAATAATGAGGTTAATGATGAAATCTGTGGGAACAGAAAATCACTGTAACTTAGAGAAAATAACTATGAGAAACGAGGTCTGACAGGAGATCACTGATATGTCGGTGTAAAATAATTTGTTGCTATTTTTGGAAAATGAGGCGTCTTTTATGGAAGAGTTCATGAAAACACAATCGTCTTGTCAGTTCATGCTGGTAAAGCTCCAAGCACTTCAAAATGATTAAAACTTATCCTTAGGTGTTAAAAAGTAAAATAAGATGCTTTGTCCAACTGGTTAAACATTAAGCAACAATAAAGGGGTGGCTGGGGTGCAGTGGTAAGGCAGCTGACTTGGGACTAAAAAGTTGCAGGTTTAACTCCCCGTCATGCCCACATGTCAAGATCAAGGTTTCTTTATTGTCATTCTCATCACATGTGATGGAAAAAAATTTGTGTACACAGGGTCCCAGTTACATCCAACAAAAGTATAAATTGTAAAAGGAAAACCAGTAATAAGATCTAAGATATGAACTAAGAAATACTAAGCACTAATAGTACATTTATTTTTTTTCATTTACCCTTTATTTATCCAGGTAGTCTCATTGAGCTACAAGAACTCATTTTCAAGAGAGACCTGTTTAGGGAGCAGATGGGGGTTAAGGGCCTTGCTCATGGGCCCAGAGTGGAGCGAATGAGGGTGGGGGCCGATGTGGGTGCTTCACCTACCCCGCCCACATTTTTGATGTTGCCGGTAACGGGGCTTGAACCGGCTATCTTCCGATCACAGGCCCACCTTCTCTAACCTCTGCGCCACCACTCCAAAAGTACAAAAACAATACGCTGAACAACAGCAGCACGAACATGAGTGTGTGAGGAGATGAGTGCAAATGAACACAGCAGCATGAAATAGATCATGAGATCAGCAACATGGATAGTCAGCAGCACATATCGGTCAAGTGGCATTACAGTGATTATTCTGATTAGGGATTCATGAGTCTAACAGCCTCAGGGTAGAAGCTGTTCCTCAGTCTAGTGGTTCTACACTTAATGCTCCACAACCTCCTTCCTGAGGGGAGCAGGGCAAAAAGTGTGTGTGCTGGGTGAGTGGGGTCCTTCATGATGCAGGTGGCCCTCTTCCTGCATCTAGCGGTATAATTGTCTGTGATGGTGGGGAGGCTGACTCCAACAGATTTCTGTGCAGCCTTCACCACTCTCTGCAAAGCTTTTCTTTCTGCAGCTTTGCAGCCTCCATGCCACACGTTGATGCTGGAGCACAGGATGCTCTCCACTGCACACCTGTAGAAGGAGGTGAGGACTGAGCTTCTCAGACCAGCTCGTCTCAGCCGCCTGAGGAAGTAAAGTCTCTGATGAGATTTCTTGATCAGGCTGGTGGTGTTGTTGCTCCAGCTGAGGTTGTCATTCATGTGTACACCCAAGTACTTGTAGCTGGAGACCACTTCCACTGCAGATCCTCTTACATTCAGGGGGGTGTAGGTGTGTTTGTTCCTTCTGAAATCCATAATCATCTCCTTCATCTTCTTCACATTGAAGTGAAGGTTGTTCTTCCTGCACCAGCTCTCCAGGTGTTCCACCTCCTGCCTGTAGCTGGACTCATCGTTGTTTGTGATGCATCCCACCACCCCTGTATCATCTGCAAACTTTACAATGTGACAGCCTGGATGGGTAGGTGCACAATCACACGTGAGCAGAGTAAACAGGAGGGGGCTCAGCACACATCCCTGAGGGGAGCCAGTGCTGAGGGTTACGGTGGATGAGGAGAAGTTGTGGATCCTCACTGACTGCAGTCTGTTTGTTAAGAAGTCTAGTACCCAGTTGCAAATGGAGGGGCTCCGTCCTAGTGTGAGTAGTTTGGCCATCAGGATTTGGGGGATCATAGTGTTGAAGGCAGAAGTGAAGACCACAAAGAGCATATGGACGTTGGAGTCCTTATGCTCCAGGTGGGTGAGAGCAGTGTGGACTACAGAGGAGATGGCGTCTTCTGTTGATCGGTTCTCGCGGTATGCGTACTGGTGAGGGTCCGCGTTGATGTTGATGGTTGTTTTGATGTGAGTCATGACCAGTTTTTCAAAGCTTTTATCGACTATTGGGGTGAGTGCTACTGGCCGATAGTCATTCAAACCAGTCACCACAGAGCTCTTTGGGACTGGGAAGATGGTGGCGATCTTCAGGCAGGTGGGAACTGGTACCAGGGTGAGGGAGGAGTTAAAGATGTCTGCCAGCACCTCGCAGAGCTGATAGGCACATTCTTTCAGCACCTTCCTGGGGATGTTGTCTGGACCAGTTACTTTGTGAGGATTAATCCTCCTGAAAGTACTCCTCACTTCGGCTGAGGTCACGCTGATAAACTCCTCTTCCAGTGGTGAGGTGAGTTTGGTGCTGGGTGGTCTATTCTGGTCTTCAAAGTGTGCATAGAACTTGTTGAGGGCATCAGGCAGTGATGTGTTGTGCACCCCTGCCTTTATAATCTGTTATACACCTAATGCCCCTCCACATGCTCCGTAGGTCTTGTGAGGTGAATTGACCCTGGATCCTCTGTGCATACGTGGCTTTAGCCCTCTTAATACCAGAAACCAGCTCTGTTTGGGTTTATTCTCCGCTTTCAGGAAGGCCCAGTCTTTCGGTTAAAATACGAAACGTTTCAACAAGAAGCTGGTGAAGATTCTCAGTTTCTCATTGTCTCATTGGATTAGGGTTGAGCAGCATCAGGACAAAGGAAGAATTATTTCTCATTATTTCTATGAAGATTGAATCAACGCTTCAAGAAATCACCCACCAGTCGATCCTCTTTGCAGATCTCCTGGTCCACTGCTTTTCCTGAAACCTCTAAATAAACTCACCTTCTTTTACTTTCGTCTCCTGGTCCTTCTGTGTTCAGTTGATGTTCTGGTAGTGCTTAAAATGACCGAAAATGACAACCAGCAGTAAACGATAAATAATTCTGAGGTCAGATGCATGTAAGACTGAAGCCTAATTAAATAATAAACAAATAAAACACCAAGGCATTAATAATGCAGATAGGACATTAAGGTAAAGATGCAGTAAAATTAAAGTTGCACAAAACAAATAAATTGCTGCAGCAATTGTAACTGTTTTTTGAAGTTTAATTTTGAAACCTCTATATTGTTGTATATCAATGCAATGTATTTTAAATAAAACCAGTTTTAAACCAGTCTTAAATAAAACCAGCTTTAAAATCCAAACTTAAATTATACACCTGTAGCGAACCAAGTGCGCCTGCTTCTGTGTTCCGACATCATTTTATCTTGTGCACTAGAGCGTGTAGTCAGCTGTCAACCTGAATAAAAAAGGATTATTTCACTTAACAATGTGAAATATATATAAAATATTAAATAGGGATGGATCGCTGCTCAGGGGAGTGACAATTGTGAGTTTTTTCCTCTCTGAACTCATGGAATCTTCTCCCAAATGATGTTTGCATTGTGGTGACTGCAGACTGCAAGCACTGAGAATTTATCATAGTGAGTTTGAACACTGAAAGAGGGGAAGTGAGACTTATGTGTAATCTCTGGCTAACACTGCTAGTTTGTGCTCCAAGGCAATAACTTCCTCCAGCATGTGCAGCGTACAGAGCTGCGCCTCCTCTCCCCTGAAGAGATGTGTTCAGGTGTGCTGTCATATCCACCGTGAAGTGTAGCTTTTCCAGCCACATGTCTGTTCCATCTCAGGAAACGTGAGCTCTTTGCTGCCCAGGAAAGTTTTCACTTCTTCCAGACATGCGACAAAACATTTCAGCACCTTCCCTCTGGACAGCCACTGGACTCTTATGCAGCAGGAGGTCATAATGTAACGCTGTCCACCTCATCTCACATTGGTGATTGTGATGCTTATTTTGTTCCAACAAAAATTAAAGCCTTTTTATTTTAATGTTACAAGAACTCCATTATCTTCACATTTAGAATTACATTAAAAAAATGAACTAACTAAAATAGAAAGACATTTAAATTAAATATTCATTATTTATTTTCCAAAGTCACAGGGAGCCGCAGCAGAGGGACGAAAGAGCCGTGGGTTGCCGACCCCTGACACTGACCCTGGATCAAGGGAAAACTTCAGAAGTAACTCCATCCTCAACTTCAGCAGATTTTTGAATTCGGCTGAGTTCTTCTAGCAAAAGCTTCTCATAGTTTGTAACACTCAGCTTTGCGACCCCCTTCAACGCTGCTATATAGGACTGAGTAAGGTCAGAAGTCAGCTTAGAGCTGTACAGAGGTGACAACAGCTGGAGCTTGTGGGTGATTTTAGGATCAGAGGTACTTTTTTGACATAGCAGGTCTATCTGAAGTACTTCTATAGCTGTACCAAACTGAAACTTAACTGTGGTTGTTGTTAAAGTCAGGGTCAGAACTATCGATGGGTCCCACTCTTGAAATGGAACCATATCCTGCAAGAACTCAAATAGTTCCTCATCTACCTCTGTGCCTGTTAATCC